ATGTGTTTATATTACGGACTTGTAAAACTTCTTTTAAAATATCAGAAGTGGTTTCTAATGGTTTAAACCCTCTTCTCTGCATTTCTGTTTTGTAGTCATCACTATAACAATCGCCATTATAAATAATTCTATTGTGTTGTTTAAAAGTTTCTTTAATCACTTTTTCAACAGCATCTCTTCCATTGATTCCAGATTTGTTAAGACTCTTGACTTGTTCGGTCATTTCTTCTACAGCAACAGCAAATATTGTATTGATAACGGTCATTGGCCATGCTGGGTTTTGGGAAGACCCAACAGCTCTAAACTCAAACCTATTACCAATAAATGCAAATGGAGAAGTTCTATTTCTATCGCTCTGATCTCTGATGAAAGAGGGTAATGTTTCTACACCAAAATTTACTAATAAAGGAGAACATTCAAGGTCATCTTCATCTCTAAGCATATCGTCAATACATCTTTCTAATTTTTCACCTACAAAAACAGAAATAAAAGAAGGAGGGGCTTCAAAACCACCTAACCTATCAATATTGCCTGGAGTGATTGTTGCAGAACGAACTAAATCATAATGTTCATCAACTGCTTTAAGTAGTGCAGAAGTTAAAAACAAAAATCTAATTCTTTCATACTCACTATTACCAAAATCCATAAGGTTTTGACCATTAGAAAATAGTGCCCAATTTAAATGTTTTCCTGAGCCATTAACACCTTCAAATGGCTTTTCATTAAACAATACTTTTAAGCCATGTTTTTGAGCAATTGCTTCAATTCTTTCCATGCAAATCATATTATGGTCAGACGCAATACTGCCTCGTTCAAAAATTGGTGCCATTTCATATTGGGCTGGGGCAACTTCGTTATGAATAGTTGTCACTGGAATTCCTAATTCCCACATTGATTTCTTTACTTCTGCTAAGCAATCAATAACTCTTTTAGGCATAACTCCCCAATAATGGTCTTTAAATTGTTGGTTTCGTGCAGGGAGTCTTCCGCTTAGAGTTTTACCTACTTGCATTATATCCTCACGTTTTCTTGCAAGATTCTCATCAATCAAAAAGAATTCTTGTTCAAGCCCAACAGTCACACTTACTCGTTGTTCTTCATTCTTTCTTGGTACTTGATAAATTAGTTGTAACATATTGATACAATTTGTAACTGTTTCATCAATTGCCTTTTCACTTCTAAGTAATGGTGTTTTTGTGTCAAGAGATAAACCAAAAATTGAACAGAACACTGCTGGAATATACAAAACACCTCCAAATTCATCTTTAATAATAAAAACTGGAGAGTTATAGTCCCAAGCTGAATAACCTCTTGCTTGAGACGTATTTCTAAGTCCACCATTTGGAAAAGAAGATCCATCAGGTTCTCCTTGTATTAATTGTTTTCCAGTAAACTCACTGAGGAGATGAGAAATGTGTTGACGAGAACATTGATGTTTAACAGAAAGAAAACTATCATATTTTCTGGCTGTAGTCTGTGATAAAGGTTGAAACCAATGAGCAAAACAACTTGCACCTAATTCTTCAGCCCATTCTTTCATTCCAAAAGCAATAACATCTGCAGTTTCTTGGTCTAAAGAACCACCATTCTCAAAAAGATTCTTTAATTTTAAAAAAGAGCTTCGTGGTATTCTTTTTTCCATAACTTCATGAGTAAAAACATATTTACTAAATGTTTGGTCTTTATGTATAAGTTCTTCTGTTGCCATACCTCTTTTAATGAATGATTGGTAAACAAAAATTGACTTAAATAGATATTGGTCACGACTTTCTTTTGGTTAGTAGAAATGCTTTGACTTTCTCATTCATCTTATTATTTTTTTTTTGATTATAAAAGATAAGAAAATATTAATAAGAGTAAATTAGTCCTTTTTAGAATCTTGTTTAATCACTAAAGAACTAAATGAAAACAATGAATATATATGAGACATAGAAACTGGGATATAGAAAAGTATTGCTATTGTTACTATTGTAGGAACATATACAAGAATAGAGAGATCAATAGAAAAGAGAAACAGTAACAGTACAAATCCAGGGAGAGAAGTAATTAAGCAAATAACTTTTCCAAACTTAGAGAATGAAGGTTTGTATAATAAAACAATGAAAGGAATTAATGAGGTTACTCCAAGAATAAATCCATAAAGAAGTGCAAAATAAGGATTAATGAATAAGAAAATTGTACATACAAACAAACTTGGTAATGAAGCAAAAGAAATATTTAAACGGAGTTGATATAAAGAAGGTGGTGGAGCATGATAAGATAATAAAAGTGATATAATAACTGGAATAAAACTAACACAAAACAGATAGATTGATTGGTCTTGATTGAACTGAGTATAATTATAATGGTCTTCAATAGAAACAATATTCCAACCAAATAAAAAGAGATATGGAATATATAAAGTAGTAGAAAGAATAAAATAAAAGATTACTAAATAAATTGTTGTTGGATGAGAAATTTCAGTTTTAGTTGACAAAAAAATATCTGATAATACCATTAATTGTTTAGGAGATGATTTAGAGGATGAGTCTGTATATGATTTAAAGATATAACAAATACTTTCTGGGATAATACTAATTAAAATAAATAAGATAATTGGAGCAGTAATAGCAAGGATCAATAATATAATTATTGGGAAATTAATATATGAAGTTAGTCCTGAAGGAATATAAAAATGAGTTGAATATTGTAATTGTTGATATAAATTATTAAAAGAACGTAATAGAGTAATATATGTAGATAATAATATTCTATGAGGAACTGATTTTTGCTGTTTTGTATCGTTATAAGTTGATTGAATACAAAGCATATCCACGTTATTATATCCAGACTCTTCAGAATCAGCATACCGAATAAAAGAAGCATGTAATAACCAATCTTCAAAGATTGAATGAGAATATTTTGAAAACATTTTTGAAATAGTTAAGTTATAATAAGCTAAGTTAAGATGAGATATATATCCATTATAAATGTCTTGATTTGGCATATAAATTTGAGAAGGAATAACAATTGATAATTCTGTTGCACCATAAGATGATGACTCAACATCAAGTTCTAATCCAGCTATAATTCTTCCACAAAAAGGATATTTTTGATAAATATTAAAGAAATCATTTTTACCTATTGAAGTTGTATCTTCAAGAAATACTAAAAGAAAGTTTCTTGCAAGCCAATCACATTTTGTTAATTTTTTTGCAATTACCAACATTGACATTAATGTATTTATTTCTGGCATTTTTGATGGATTTAATGGTGAGCTCATATTTGTAGAATATCTTCCCATTAATAAAATACAACTTCTGTCATCAGTTCTTCTTGGTCTTAATACTGCACTTAATCCAGTAGTATTGTATTTGTCTTTGTAATTATATAAATCATAACCAATACTTTGTAAATATGAAAAAAGAAATTCTGTTCTTCTTTGTTGTGGAGTTTTAGAGTATCGTTTAAATATTTGTAATACTTCAGGTATTTCAGTTTGAATAAACTCTCTAACAGTATCAGCATGTAAGTTATTATCATCTACAAATGTTTGTTGAGATATATATTCTGGATAACATATTAAAAATAATGAAAGGCTAAAAAGAAATAATCCAATAATAACTATCTTTTTTCTTACAGACTCATTAACATAATTCATTTGAAAAACTGTTTTTTTTTTTATTTTTAAGTTTTTTTATTATTTTTTTATGAATATTTATTATTAATAAAACTTCCTTCCGACTCTTATGTCATTCAAAAACAATTCATTAAGACAATAGTTTTATTGAAAAATAAATTAAAAAAAATGTTTATTTGGAATATAAAAAAATCTATGAATGAAGCTATTAATTCTTTTTTTTTCATTTTAAAGAAAAAGTAATAAAAAATTATTAATTTTTATCAAAAAGGAATTTGTTGGTTATTACTAAATAAAAGAATACCTTAAAGAAGAAGATGTTATAAAATTATAAAGAAAATATGGTTTGATATAAATTGAGTACTTGAGTAGATGAGCAATAAAAATAAGATAGGGATTGAGTCAAACTTATTTAAAGAAAATAATTTTCTTGAAATTATTATTGACAAACAAAAAAAAAGAATCAAAGAGAATAACCATTCTAATACTAGAAATTGCACATTCATTAACAAATCACCAATTTTAGACAATTATTATTTAATGAATCTTTTCAAATGATTATTCCACTCACTTTAAATACTTATCAACAAAAAGTAAAAGAAATCACTTATTATCAATTAATGGTTAATAAAAACTAAAAAGAGAAAACTCTTTTGGTTTGAAGATTATAGAAAATAAAAAACAAAGAAAATACTTAGAGTATTACAAAACAAATGGCATAAGACAAACTAAGTGATGTATAGTAATAAATTTTTACTTAATAATATTTCTTTTATTTGTAAATTAATTATCTAATCACAATTGTTACTTCTGAAAACACCACGCTGATTTTGTATCAAAATTTCCTCTTCTTTTTCTTGCTACTCGGAATTTTCATTATAAATGATTTGTTTTATTTGTCGATTTTCTTAAAAATACTTGTTATACAAATATTTATTTGTCATGAATAACAAAATATTTGTTTCAATTTTTTTTTGGTAATACCTCATCTTTCAGATAAGAACATTCTGGAAGGTTAATGAAACGAAGTACATTTTTAATTCAAATAATAGTCAGTGAATTTAGATGAAAAGTCTAGGAATAAAAAAAAAAGATTTTCATTGTTTCACAAAAAATCTTTATTACATTTTGAAAAGACCTTTGAAATATATTTCTCCTAAAAACCTAATAGGAAAGGAAGGAACGAGGCAAAAAAAAAAAGAAAAAGAAATGACTCAAAAGGAGAAATGTTCTGTTTGTTGGAAAAAGATAACAAAGGTTCAACAGAAGAAAATTCAAACACATGTCCATTGGACCAAAAAATTCCAAAAGTGTAAGAACATAAATTTGATTAATTCGAAGAGCCAATCTTAGAAATCCCAATAATCCACTTTACTAAAGCATGAATCCCACTAATAATATTTGCAATTGTTATAAATGTATTTGTTGTAATGTCTCAATTAATGTTAAGTCAGTTTGTGAACAAACTGATCTTGCTCTGAATTCTGTTCCTTTAAATTGGATTAATCCCATTTATACTACTACAGGTATTATTCAAATCAGATATCAACAACTTACAAATATATCTACAACCTCTACATTAAAACCATTTTCATTAATACATTGTAACCTTTGTAATACTGATGTATGTTGTTATATTCCAAGACCATCTTGTTTGACTGAAACGTATGTCATAATTAATCCAATATTAAGAATTATTAAAGATTTACGAGAAGATATGGTTTATTCAAAGGCTTATGATTTGTATATTAATAACTCTGAAATTCAAGACACTAGTTCTTGGTGTTGTAATGATCCTATAGAAAGAATGCTTTATCAAAAAAGTCAAGACTATATTGATGCTTTGTTTGAAGAAAAAGAAAGAAAAGTTAGGGAATTTGTTTTGAAACAAGAAGAAATTTTTGAAGAACAAAGAAGAGAAGCAAAAAATCAATATCTAATGCTAAAGAAACAATGTTCTGAACGTCATATTATAAGTTCATCTTCAGCCTTTAGTTCTTCAATTTCTACTAAAACCCAAAATGATTCAGAATTAAAACAAAACCACCTTCCTTTTTATTTACTTAAAAATCGTCATTCTAAAGACAGTATTTTCCTTTTTGATGAAGAGTCAGAAAGTGGTGTTGAACCAAGTTCTTATGAAGAAAAAGCTTCTTTAGACAACAGAGTGTTTAGTCGTACATTCCCTTCTCCTTTTGATGACAATGACGATATTCCTATTTTTGCTAAAAAGCAAGAAAAAAAATTATTCCCAACTACTTTCAAAGAATTTACACTAGAAAAAGTTCAACAAGAGTCATATGAAAAACCTTCATTTACTTCTACTACTTTAATTAAACAAGGTCTGATATAGGAATGTCTCTCTTCACACTACATTAAAAATTAAAATACAACTTTTAAGTAGTTGTTTTTAATAAGTTCTTTTTTTAATGGAGATGAAGAACGTCATTTCTCAATTTAATTTGTAAATGAAAAAAATAATTTATTTAATTAAAAAAGTTATTTTTATGTTTAAAATGAAGATAATTGATTTAATAAAAATGAATTATATTTTAAATTTAATTAAGTTTTAAGTATTTTAATCTCATAACAAATAGAGGTGTTATTGAAACTTCTAAAAACATCATTTGATTAAATGACGTTTGACGTGGCAACGCTATTAAAATGAAAAATTGAATTGACTAAGACATTCATTAAAATATGAGTGATAAAACACTTGTGTTTGTAGGAATTGATTTTGGTACAACTTTTTCTTCTATAGCTTATTATAATCCTTTGAATAAAACTGATTGTACTATTAATGATGAAGGAGGTAATAAACAAATACCATCATGGGTAAGTTTTGCTCAAATGGAAAATAGTGGGGTTATTATTGGGAATGGAGCAAAGAATGAAATTTTTGGTGAATGTGTTTTGTATGATTCTAAAAGAATTATAGGAAGTGACATATCTGATATAAGTGATGAAGATAAAAAGCATTGGCCATTTACAGTAATAGGAAATAACAATGGAAAGGCATGTATGGAGGTATATAATCCTTTTAAGCAAAAAGATGAAATATTTGAACCAGAAGAAATATCAGGAATGGTATTAAAAAATCTTATTCTTATGGCTAAATCAAAATTGGATAATACAGAAATTGGTAATATTGTTGTTACAGTTCCTACAGAATTTGATGATAAAAAAAGAAATGCTACTTTAGCTGCTTGTAAATTAGCAGGAATTGAAAATGTTACACTTGTTAATGAACCAGTAGCTGCTCTTGTAGAATATAAGAGAACTCATAATGACGTTCTTAGTAATGACTCTAAAGTTGTTGTAATAGACTTTGGAGGAGGAACATTAGACATTTGTTGTTGTAAATTACAAGGGAAAGATATTAGTACTGTGTCTGTTGGAGGAGATAAGAATTTAGGAGGAAATGACTTTGATGCAGTGTTGATGGAATTAATAGAGAAGAAGATTTATTCATCTGGATTAGTTGATGAAACATACTTCAAAAAAAGACAAGGAATGTCCCAACTTGAAAAGACAAAATTAAGTAAAGCAATTAACAAATTAAAGAAGGAAGCTGAACGAGTTAAAATTGAACTAAGTAGAAATGTAGATTGCGAAATAAATTTAAGTCATATATTAGGAGAAGATAATAATGATGATCTAGACATTGGTTTAAGTGTTTCAAGGAAAGAATTTGAAGAGCTTTGTGAAAAGAAAGGATTATATAAAAGACTTATTTCAAAAATAAAAGAAGTTACAGGAAAAAGTGATTTTGTAGGAAACTCTGTTCAATTGGTTTTATTAGTTGGTGGAACTTGTTTGATAAAAAGAGTAAGAGACGAAATAGCAAAACTATATGACGTAAAGAATTTTTCTGATATAAACTTTGATTCACTCACTGCTGTTGCAAAAGGAGCTGCATATTTATCACATTTGAAATCTGAATGTTCAATTGTTGAAGAAAAAGTATATGAAATAGTACCAAAGTCTATTGGGATAGAAGTAAATGAAGGAAGGTTTTATGTACTTATTCGTGAAGGAGAACAATTACCTACAAGTGAAAAAACAAAGATGTTTAAAACTTACAAAAAAAATCAAGAAGTTGCTGACTTTAGGATTTATAGAGGTACTGGTAACTACACTAGTTCTCCTGGTGTAGAGTTTGTTACAGCAATGAGTATAAATGGATTTCCTTTAGGACCAGCTGGAAGTGTAACTTTTAAATTAAAAATTAAATTAAATGAAAGTGGACTTATGGAATTATCTGCAAATGTTTTTGGAACAGATATTCATAAAGAACTAGCAGTTACTCTTGATTTTGAAAAAGTTGATGAAACATTTGAAAGATTAAGACAACACTTTAATCTTTTCCCAATATATTAATTCAGTTTTTAGTGTTAGTGGTTTTTCTGATAAATAAGTTTATTTTAATCTACAACTTTCTTCATAAAAATTAATAAAAATGAATAATTAAATTATTTTGTTCATTACATTGAATTACCTCTTTTTATTATCTTTCTATCTGATTTTCATTTAAACTTCAAAACATAAAGAATTTACTTGTTTATGAGAAAAGAAAAATTAACTTCAAAAAAGAAAGAAAAAAAAACAAGAAAAAAAAAACTGAATTATTAACAATACATGAACCTTAGAGGTGATACATCGAAAGAATATTTATTTAAACAACAAGAGTCTTATCATTCTATACTAAGGAGTAAAAAAAGAAATGAAATGTTATATAAAAAAAGAATAGAAAAAGAAAACAATAAACTTGGAAAAGAAGCATATTTTATAAAAAAAGAAACTCTCTACGAATTGATTAAACAAATAAAACAATTACCATCGAAAATTATACTCATTGAAAAAATGATATTTATTCGTCATTTAATCCAAGAATCAATTAAACTTAGTGATATTCAACAAGAAGAATTTATTCAATTATATGGAAATCTTATTAATTACAAAGATACTAATGTAGTTATTCTTGTTATTGAAACATTAACTGATTTGGTTTTAATATCTGATGATTATTCATTATTAATTGATAAATACCATATTATACAAACATTACAACAAAATTTAATTGATACTGAACTATTCATACCTGTTTGTCATTATAATTTTCTAAATTAAATTAAAAATTAATAAAGCTGTAGTGTTTAACATTTATCGGTAATTTGACTATTGACAATATTTCAACAGCAATTCAATTAGCTCCTAGTTTAATTCAACAATCAATGAATATAAATAACCAAGAAATTATACGTTGTGCTTCATGGTTAATTCATGTTTGTTCAACAAAAAATGAAACCATCAAACAATTTATTATTCCATTCATTTCAATTCCAGACCAAAAGATTCAAAAGCAGATATTAAAAGCATGTATTGAAAGAAGTCAACATAATTTAGATATTCCATTAGATATAATTATTCCTTTTATTTCCAATGAATGGAGTAGAAAATATGTCATTGAAATTCTATCACATCAATCATTTTATAATAATTATCTTGATCAAATTTATTCATTACTTCCTTATCTTCTTTCAATTCATTTACAACCACAAGAAATTACTGATTTAATATGGCTAATAGAAAATGTGTCATTAAATAATATTAATTATCTGATAAAATTAGGTGAGATTGGATGTATTGATTTTGTAATCAAACATTCATATTCAACTAATACAGCTGTAAAAAGAGATTGTTGTCATACATTAAGTTCATTTATTGTTTTATGCCAAAATGAGCAAAAAATGCTCAAAATATTAGTAGAACATCATATAGTTGAAGCACTAATTGATTTAATAAAACAATATCGTCTTATTGAAATTGAAGACTTGAGTTTATTAATTGAATCTTTATTGATTTTAATAAAGATGGATGAAAGTAAAACAGATATAATAACATTGATTGAAGATAATATTCAGTACATTGAAATCATTCTCTTTGATTCTTCAACACCAACAAAAATTTGTAAAAAGATTAAGTGGTTGTTAGATACTTATTTCAATTGACTTGTTATTATTTCTTTTTAGTTTATTTTTATAAAAATAAAAAACAAAAAACAAACTCTACAAAATAGAAAATTATTTATTATAATGTCCAACAAAGAATCAACAACTACTTCACTACTTTCAATGATACAACCATCCCCACCTAATAATGACATCAATGACTCTATCACTGTTAATTCTCAACCTAGTAGGATTACCAAACAAAAAAGTCAAAATCAATCACATGCTATCCCTCATTCTTCACTCTCAAGTTTTAGTCCTGTTGAAAGACCTCAACAACCAGTAACCCAAGAAGAAATAACTGAATTTAAAAAGAAACCAAGAAAGTTAAGGGATGAGTCAGAAAGAGTTAAATGGCAATCAAACGCAGAATTTATTAAAGACGTTTTGACTAAAGGACGTACAAAGGCAGGTGAAACAAAACCACGAAAGATTGTCCCATTGTTTGTTTTGTTCTTTTTTTGAGAGTTTTTATTTTGAACGAAAAATTAACAATTATAAGTAATAGTCAGATTGAAAAGAAACTTGATGAAATTGTCAAAAACATTAGAAGAGATCTACAAGGAATACAAAGAACTTCAGTAAAAATGTGTTGATATTAGTGCTAACTTTTTTTGATAACTAGTTGTTAAGCCTTAAGCATTTATTTAAAAAGAATTTATTTGGATTTATTTGAACGTTTTTCTTAAGTTCGTTGTTTGGTTTGTAACTTCTCAAAGTACAGAAATACAAAAAAATTGAGCATTAAAACAATGATGCTACTGTCTTGTTTTTTTTTCATTATTATGACCCAATGTATTTTTAAAAACGTTCCTCTTTTTTTCAAAACCTTATTAAAGTAGTTCTCTCTTCTTGAATGACTCAGTAACATCTCTTTAAAACTTCAATCTTTATCTACTATTAATTGGTATTTACCATAGAGAATGACGCTTATATCTTTTTTTTTGTTAAAAGATTAATAAAATGAAATAAAGCTAGTTATTTTCTTATTAGTAACTTCAATTTATCCTTTTTTTAAAAGAGCTTTTTCATACAAAATTAACTTTTGATGTTTTTATTAACATTAAGTGATAAAGGTAACTAAACACTTAAGTGAGATTTCAGAGACGAATTAAACCTTCAACCAAGTTATCTAATAATTTTGTTTAAAAATTCTTTTAGCTTTTGTATTGTCAACTAATTATCAAATATATAAAATGTTATAATATGCTTTTTTTGTTAATTGTAGGCAAGACGTATTGATATGCTTTTAACTACATTAATTAAAATATAACTAAAAGTTCTTTTTATTGTTTTTTTTTTCAAATCAAAGAAGAAGTAAAACGATAAAATGAAGAACAAGAATAATTATTACAAAAACTCCTTGAAAAGAATAGACTGTAGCTTTGGGTTTTCTTTTTTAATAATAAAAGAATGTCCAGAGCCTGTTTGTGATGAATAATTTACAAGGACCTCATGAATTATTTTTCCTCTAGAATCAAGATCAATATTACCAACTTCTAATCCATCAATTTCAAAAGATTCAAGCAGACGGTTGTCTCTTAGTGTCGTTCTTTTACCATAATTTGTTTTAATTTTGTATCCAACACTTTGAGCAATATCTAACAAAACATGAATATGTTCCATAATTTTATAGACTTCTAACCTTCGTTTTATTGTTTTTTCATCTATACCATTAATTTGGTTTTCTTTAATGAGTGATTGAACCTTGGTATCAGTAAGCGTTTTAAGGTTAATTCGGTTTCTTCCATCAATTAATTCTAAGACTTTAAAAAAGATAAAGACTCGGTGTTAATTTTCCGTGGTTTTTCAAGAAGTATATCGAATTTTAAATTAAGTAATGCAATTAATATACATTGTTGTTCAGATTGATGGTTTCTTGATTTGATAAATGACTTTCTATTTCTGCGAGGTTTATGCTTTCTTTTTTCATCAACAAATGGATGATGTGGTAGATTATTCATTGAGAGAATTATTAATTAATCAACTAACATTTTAGAACTATTATACTATCATCTTTTTTTCAGTCCGAAATACTCTTGTAAGAATTTAATTGTCTTTCTATTGTTGGGTTATTCAAAAAAATTATTTTCAAATAAACTCTTTGTATTTTTAGAACAAAGTCTTTTTATTTATATACTTCTTAGTAAATTATATTTTATAGCTTTTAATAGTTTATAAAGTCAAACATACTTTTATGTGGAAAAATAATATAAAAAATATTTAGGAATATCAACTGTCATTAACCTCTCTTAAATTGAGTAGTTTCTATAAAATAGTAAAAATAAAAAAATTTTAGCAATTTTTTTGAAAAACTATGAAACTAAATGACAAAAATTCATTATGACAACTCTCCTCTAACATTTGGAAGACAGGAAGCGTGCCGCCAAGATTTGATCCGACGAGGTATTTATACTGGAATGGAAACAAAAAATAATATTAATTACTTCCCTACAACAGAAGGAAATGTTGTTGTCATAGAACGTGAGAAAGAAATTACTTTGGTTGAATTAGAACAATTATCATTGACAATTCCTCAGTGTGTTTTAGCAATTGTATCTCAAGACAGTTCAATAGTGTATTACAGTATTTCACCAATTTCATTGACATTTAAAAAATGAAATTAAGAAATAATTTGAATAATAATTTGATAAAAAATCATTTCATTTATTGTTGTTGTGCATTAGCTCCAATAACATCATCAACTTTCAAAATCATTTTCACTACTTGAGTAGCCAATAAAATTTGTTGTGTTTTAGCATGAAGGGATTCAAATACTTTTTGTTCAGTCATATCATTAGTTCCAACTTGAAGACAGTCAATTCCAAAATGTGAATTTTTATTTGTGACTTGCATTTGTTTAACAGCAGCTACAGTCTCAATAGCATTTAATCCACTGTTCTCAGCTAATGCATGAGGTACAGCTAATAAAGCATCAGCATAAACAGACATAGCATGATGTTCAACAGTTTTACAATGTTTAGAGGCTTCAGCAACAGCAAGAGACATACTTATTTCACAAGCTCCACCACCACATACCTCTCTATTATCTCTTAAATAGTTTCTAGCAACACACAAGGCATCATGAATAGATCTTTCAATTTCAGCCAATACCATTTTATTACCTCCACGAATAAAAATAGTAACAGCATTAGAATTAGGACATCCTTCTACTTTGATCATTTTTTCTTTTACAGTTCCAAAACTCATTTCACTAATTGATTTACAACTTCCTAATTTATCTTTTGTTAATTCTTCAAAACGTGGAACAATTCTTGCACCTGTAGCAATAGCCAATAATTCTAATTCAACACCACCAACCCATCTTACAGCATTAATTCCATTAGATAATAATAAATGATTAGCTTCATCATCAAATCCCCATTGACAAAGAACAACATTAGCCCCTGCTTCTTTTACTTTTTCTACCTGCATTCTGAAATATGCTTGTTCTTGTTGATATAATTGGTTATATGCTTCAACACTAGTAACATTCATATTAGTTGTTGTTTTAGTTTTTGGTGGTTCAAATGGACATGACAAAATACAGACTTTTGCATCTTTAACAGCTTTTGGCATTTGTGCATGAGAGAAATCTTTTTCTAACATCAGTCCATCAACTAACTCAGTATCTTCCATTCTTCCTCCAGCTTTACTAACTAATTTAATTAAGTCCATGTTAACATCATTACGTTCTTTGTCATAAACAGATAAAACAGCATCTGCACACACTTCAGCTAAATGTCTCTTGCATCTATTAACAATTTTACTACCAAGAGCTACTTCACACGCAGCAACAATGGAGTCCCTATCCATTTTTTCTTTTTCTATTGCAATTTTCTTTAATTCATCAACAGCAATTTTGGCTGCTTCTTCATAACCTGTTGCTATTCTTGTTGGATGAATTCCTCGTTCAACTAACTTGAGTGAATGTTCTAATAATGAACCAGCAAATACAACAACACCAGTTGTTCCATCTCCAATTTCTGAATCTTGTGATTGTGATAATTCGACAAGTAACTTGGCAATTGGATGATCAACGTTCATGTCTTGCATAATTGTTGCACCATCATTTGATACAGTAACGTCTCCATCTTGTGATACCATCATTTTATCCATTCCTTTTGGCCCGAGTGATGTTTTTAAAATATCAGCAACACTCTTGGCAGCCAGAATGTGTGCTTTTGTAGCTTCTACTCCTTTTAATCTATTTTCCTTTTTTTCTGCCTGTTCACGAACAATGATAAATGGTCGTCCGTTCTCGTCAAAAGCAAACATTTTTTGATCTTTGTAGTTCACCTTCAATCGTTTTTTTTCTTTTTACTATCCTCCTTTAAAACTATACTTTTTACTTTTTTTATTCTTTTTTTTTTATTTCATATTTTTTACTATAACTTGAATTTTATTTCCATTTGAGATAGTTTTTTTATAATTAAATTTTATTATTTGTCAATTTCTCTCTTTAATTATTGTGTAATATATAACAAATTATTTGTTTTGTTTTATCTCCAACTTAGTTGTTGTTATCTATCCAAATTATCAACTTAAGTCTGTCAATACTTATTCAAAGAGTTATATTTCTTTTATGGTACTTTTATTGAAAACTAAAAGAAAAATAACATATAATTAACTACTAATATTTTTGGTTTACTCTAAGATATAATTTATTTCAATAAAATAAAATTATAAATAAGTATTACCATATTATCAATTTTTATTATTTGTTTATAACTGATATTAATTTGTTCTTTTAATCATAATTCAATACTTTTTCTTGGAAAATATATTAATTATTCTCTATCTAAAAACAAATTTTATCAATGAACTTATTTCGATTTTTTTACTGAATAATACTTGGTATTAAATATCATTCACCATATAATTGTAAAAACAGTCTTTTGATAAATACAAAGATAATGTCATTCTATTCATTTATTTTTTTTTTTCATTTATTAAAGAGTCATAAATAATCTTAAGTGAATTTGTCTTATTTCATATCTCTTATTCTAATCCACATACTAATACTCCAATTTCTGTATCAATTATAAATTATTATTGTTATAAAATATATAAAACTAAATTACTTATTCTATTAAATAGAATATCAACCTTTTTAATATTGACTCAAAAAACTTTTTCATTGTGACTATGTAAACTTTTTTAATAAAAGACAAATTATTTGTAAAAAGATTAGTTATGGTTATAAAATGATGAATAATTTTATTTTCAATGATCTAAACAGTGATTTATTTCAATATCAAGATATTGTATTTTAAAGGAGTTAGAACCTTTCAAAGTATATATTTATATAATATTTTTATAATCTAAGACTTAAAAAAAGACAAGAAAAAAAAAAAAAAAAAAAAAAAAAGGTCAATTATTAGATATATCCTCAATTGGATTTTCTTCATATTGAGAAGTGATTATTTCAGTTTCTTCAATATGCTCTATTGGTGTAATAGAGTTCATTTCTAGCATGCTCGCATTAGATTGTTCTTCTTCTAATGTGCTGTCAGAATTTCCTGTATAAAACATTAATTCTTTCATATTTTTTATTATTATTGTTCGTAGGTTTTTGGGGAAGTGTAATTGTAATTTTAGTGATTTTAATCTTCTTACTGATTCTTTATGTATTAATCCATTTATTGATACTATAACAGGTATTATTTCTACAAATATTATTTCTCTATTGTTTCTTAATTTCTCTTGTAATTCTTTGTATTTATTTATTTTATGAATGTAATTTAATTCTAAATTATTATCTTGACATATAGCAACATCTATAATATATCCTTTCTTTTCTTTCATATTTTGATATTATATATCTTATCTTCTCACATTGAAAGAATGGTCACTAACCAATAAATCTTTATTGTAAGTTATAATCATTTTATCATTATTAATACATTTTGGAGGATTATTAAAATCAATTGCATCAAATTCAGTAAATTGTGTAACTAATAAGTGTTTAAATATTTGTTTACATACATAATCATGTTTTAATATTTGGTTCTTTTTCATTACATCCTAACAATATATGACTAATAGATGCTATTGTGTTATGACAATGTTTACAATATTTTAAAGCATCATTTTGGAGTATTTTAGATTTAATACTTCCTGTCATAGTTACTCCTTCTTGCATTTTTACTATTTGGAGGAATGCATTTCTTTTTATGTTTAATGACCTCCAAGTGGCTACTGTTAGTTTTTTATCATTGAAAGTGCCATTTGCACATCTTATATATTCACCACATTTCTTTTCTTTCCATTCTTTTAAATATCATTTAATTCATTATTTACAAATTCAAATATTTCCTTTACATTGTGCTTTCTTTCATTTAATTCTATTATATTCATTAATTCATTAAAATTAATATTCTTACCAAATACTTTCTTCATTCTTTTAATTATTCAATTTGGATTTTCTTTTATTGTTTCTATCATTTCTCCTATTTCTGTGCTTGATCTCCACTTATATTTTAAATATATTCTTAATAATTCTTTACCACATTCATCTCTTGATGACATTAATCCTAATCCCATTTCATTTATTTTAACATATAATCTATTTTTGGGAATATTTCTACTATATAATTGGAGTTGTATTAATGATTTTCTTATTT